TAGGCGCAGTCTTGATCTTTTGTGCCAAATGCGTTTCTGGCACCAATCCCTTATGCGAAGCTGCCTAGCTTCTCGAATTTGTTTTAAGAGGCTTGCTTTGCGTCGTCGTCCTTGTTGGTGTGCACGTTTAGTTTCTGGAGTTCAGTGGAGTTGCCTTTGTTGAAATTGTTCGTTTTGTTGCGAAAGTTGGTCAGATGGGGATCTTTCAGGAACATGAGTCTGCCTTTCTTTGCATGGTGATGTGATCAGTAGATAGCTGGTAGTCAGTACTGTACTGCTGGGGCTTGTCTTTCGATGAAGGCATCATGACAGACTGACGAGAAAGCTCCCAAGATGGTTGTGAGTCATCACTGACTGTAAATGCTTCTGTCAGTTGACAATGCGGCCGGCGTTGGTGGATTCAAAATTCCTGCAGTGGTTTGACTCACATTTGTGTTATCACTTGACGAAGAGAGCACAACAGACATGGCTTCACGTGGTTCTGATGGCGTATATTTTTCTTTTTGCAGCGTAATTAGGCTGAGAATGTCTGTCGGACAACCCTGGTTCAGAACTTCAGGGTATGGGCTGTTATTGTGAGGATTCACCAGCTCATCACGCGTAAATTTTGTGTCACGTTCGAAACCATCTGGGCCTTGTGTGTGACACGAAGCATCAAGAGATTCGGGTGGTTCATTAAATGTGAAGCGTTGTGGGGCAGTGAACACGTAGAAAATTCCAATTTCATTGCTCTTGGGAAAGCCGGCTTTAGGTTTAGTCTTTTGGCGAAATGTTTTAGATTCATTTCGGTATACGGAGGCTTTCCCTTGTCTGTTGCGACGTGCAGGTTACCAGTCGGTGTTCGAATGCGTGACGTTTTTTCGGGAGAATCATATGTTGGTACAATGGTGGTATATTTTCTCTGAGGTCTCGTTTGGGAAATAGGCTTACTGCGGGAAGACTTCGCGTAACTGTGATGGGCGAGTTGAAAACCTTTCCGCTGATGAAGTATGGACAGGTCTTCATTGTATTCTTTGAAACGGGTGATCATTTCTTTTTTGATCTTTTTCCAAGACTCATCGTTCTAGAAGATGTGGGTGAGGTAAAATTTGAATGCCTCACCTGAGATGTAGTCAGTGAAGTTGATGATTATCTCCGGTTCCGACCAAGATGCAGTGGTTGCGTGGAGCTTGAACAGGTTGACCCAATCTTGTACGCGTCCATCGTCCGCTGCTCCGGCGTACTTTGGGATGGGAAGGTCAGTAGATGCTTCTGACATGATGCTGGTCGATGCGTAATGCTAGGCGCTTGCACGGTGGTCCATGTATGTTCAGGGTGTCATGCGGAGAACTGCGTAGATGATGAGCGACTGGTGAAGGGGCAGGCAGGTCTCCATCCTGTCGACTCGTGTGACGCTATGATGAATGGGAGACGTGGCCTGCCACATACGCCATGTTTATTCCGTTCTCACTTCTTCTGACTCCTAACCATCGCTACCTTCTTACGTTACACACACATAAATATATATATATATATATATATATATATATATATATATATATATATATATATATATATATAAGGCAAGCGCACCGTCCGCGTGCCGCACAGTGCGGTCGCATTCAAGTAGCGTACCTCTTTCTTCTTTTGGTGATAATGAAATGAAGCCTACACTGAAGCATAGATCACCTGATTCAATTATTATTGCGATAGCAAGCACAAGGACACTATTGGCTGTATTTCGCCACTGGCGGTGGCATCATGAGCCGTAAATGTACACATATTTATATATACGAGAATGCAAGAAAGAAAACAACCAGCAAAAGGACTTCGGCGCGCGGAATCGGACGTGGGACCTCCGGGTCGTGAATGCGAGGCATTAACCACTGAGCTAACGAGTGATACATCCTTCATCATTCAAACGGCAAGCTACTCATACCTACCACTCACCGGTGTTGGCGGGCATCTCGGGGTGAAACTGTGTTTTCAGCGTTATCAGCAAGATGGCGCAATGTGCGCGCAGCGGCTCCTCTCTCTCACACGGAATTTTGCTCTTGGAGAGGATGGGAGTGACAATCTCTCGCGTGCCCTTATCTCTCGGTAGGGAGGATGATACGTCTTGGTCTGGTGTCGGGCTTGCACTGAAACAATACTGTTGTAGTTACGGAGAGCACAAAAGTGACTGCAATCGTTGCACGGCCTCCGTTTGCGATAAGGGCGCGCTTTCCAGACAACGAAGTAACAACTAAGACGTTTATTCGCATTCATCTGTACCTGTTAGTATGTTTCGAGCGTCCTTTGTGCGTCAGAAACGTGGTGCACGTTTCAATCTGCTTGCCATTCTGCGTGTGACCTTCCAATTTGTTGCTATCACGTTCATTACTTTGCCTTTGCAGCAAATCTGTAGCATTTTTTCTTGGCCTCAACAATTGAAGTCATACCGATTGATCAGGGCTTCGGGTGACTCGCACGCAGGCGCCGCAGTCAGCTTTTAGTCTTCTTTTGGAGCAAGTTTAGTCCTTTGGCAGAGTGGGAGCAGGGGTCAAGTGTTCCGATGAGAGAGTCGGAGTGTATTCAGAGCGGGAGTGACTCCGAGAAGCAGAAAAAGTTGCTTCCCCGAAATCGGCGGAGTGGCCCGCAACTGGGCGTGCCGTGCTCCCGTGACGGAGATGGGAAGGGTAATGGGGTGTGTTACCGCTGTGTGAATTACCCCTAATACAATCGCCGTCTTCGCACTGGTGCGGCTGTCACGTATTCTGGCAGTAATGGTGGACAACATGGCCGACTGGGCCGATCAGTTTGTTGAAGAGCGACAGCGACACTGGAACAATAAGTACGAGCAGTAATTCAACACAATACGACAGTGGTATTAGCGAAATCGAATGCTTCGCGGAAGGTATTCTGGGCAACTCAAGGACTTCCGCTTCCAGCTTTCCTTACTTGACTTTCTCGGGTATCGGGGATGATGATCCAATCGTGAATTTGTAGGTACGTCAGTTGGGAGCTCGCCCGCAGATTCGATCGGCTGATCCGGCTCTACCGTTGGAATTGAACATGTTTTATTCACAGGAGCCAAATAGTTTTCGAAGTGCTATACGTATACATATGTATCGTGCAATGGCTCCGTGTGCTTTCGCGCTGACTACGGGGCAGTTCACAAGATCACACGTGAGGACGTGTTTGCCAGGCTACGTATTGACCACGCGCTTGTTTTTCTACAGGGCGCACAATGTTTTTAAAGCATCGATTTGCATTCGGGATATTGGCGAATTTCAATAGACGGAAATGATAAAGGAAACAACCGCATTTTCAACTCTTGACAGGCTATACGAATTTAACGTGATGCCTTTCGGGCTCTGCAATACAGCCGCGCCATTTGAGTTCATGGTTGACACAGTGCTGCGTAGTCTTAAATAAAAGACCTGCCTCTGTTCACCTTGATGACCATTATAATCTTTTCATCACTGTTTTCTCAGCACATGCAACACCTTCTTGAAGTGCATAATAGGCACATAGAAAATGTATATCAGGCGCAGTTTTGTAAGACATGGGAATTTTTTATGAAAAACCTGACTAGTTATGCACTTGCCGTTTGCCGTCTTCGTAGCAAATTTCTAGGCCGAGGAGGAAATATTTTTCAACTAATGCCATTCGCCACTCAGAAATGAATAATTCTTAAAGCTAACTAAATTTTGTGTTTATGATCAAACTTAGGTTGCTTCTTATATGGCAAAGTTGTTCTAAATACCAATAATGGCGACCCTAGTTCATAGAAATGAAAAAAAAAATCACGCATGGTTTGAGAATCAATCGTTGCCTTTCTGCAGACGGAAAAACCGGCACTAAAAGCACCGGGTACGCCAGAAGGGTGGTCGCTGCGCTGCGTCCGGCGCAAACTTCTCCCTACGTAATTGTACTGCTGGCGCGTCGCACCATCAGCCGAGCGATGGCGCGACTGATGGCGCATCGCGCGAGAACCTCGCCGTGCGAGACACGTCATTTCAGCGGAGCACGCTGATCGATGACCCTTCACGCATCATTTGCGCTGGTTATCTATATAATTTTTATATATGAATGGTGCAAGACTCGAATAATAAGGCGGAAATATTCAATATATCATTCTCACGATGGCGGTTGTTCAGTCCCCTGGCATGCTGTCAGTGACAGGAGGATGACTGAGGTTTATGAGCACTGGAGGGCGTCTGAACTATGCGCGAAGTGCGAGCATAGGAACGCGTCCGAAACGGAAATAGATTTGCATGGCCTCTCGCTGCGACCACGTAAAGGAAAGTTCGCGCGTAACGCAGCACGTAATCGCGCTTATGGCACACCCCGCGCGTGAAGCTTTCGTTTCTCTGGCACAGTGTTTGGAAATTCGACGTTGCATCTCACAAACCGTGGGTCAAATTTGAATTTTTTGAATACTTGGCTGGTCCTAATTACTGGCATATAAAAACTTTGCCATATAAACAACCACCCTAATGTTGATAATAAAAATGTTCTTGTAAATAGTTTTATAATTATTCGTTCCTGAGTGATCTCATTAGTGGCAAAACATTTTCGCCGCGGCCTAGAAATTGTCTACGAAGACGACCAGTGCCACACTATAAATGTTTTTTTTTATTGTTTAAAAACCGTGACCTAACAAATTAACAGTAATTAATCAGAACTACCCGGTTCTTGGCCAATCCCCCAGCGTGGGTGTGTGCCACAATTTTTAGGCACTTCCTTCCTTCCTTTCTTCCTTCCTTCCTTCCTTCCTTCCTTCCTTCCTTCCTTCCTTCCTTCCTTCCTTCCTTTCTTTCTTTCTTTCTTTCTTTATTTCTTTCTATCTTTATTTATTTATTTCTTTCTTTCTTCCTTCCTTTTAACGAAAAAATTGCATTGGTTAAAAAAAAGCCTGTATATACACCTATATGCTTGCATCTGAGCCTCCTAGCCCATGGACAGAACTTCTGGTTAAGTCGCTGGCCTCTAGAGTGAAGCCACTCAGCGCGTTTGTGGATTGAACTGTGTTGCAGGGGACCACTTGATGACAGCGCTAAGCGTGGCACGCGATTGCGACATGGTTTCTGGTCTGTCGCGTGTCACTATTCTGACCGCCACTGCTGACCATGAGTGTTCGACTGCCACCGTGGACTTCAGTGATGTGTTATCGGACAGAAGTACGCAACTTAAGGTGAGATTACTGACCCTCTTCGTGTTCTTTACTCGCACGATTCTGTGATTGCGTGAATGATTTAGAGGCCTTGAAGACAAACGCTCCCCGCATAAAACCCCCAAGTAGTTCGAGTAAATGCGTCACAGAGTGGTGGGGGTATCGCGTGAATATTCTGTAACTGGGGAAGGTTTTGGAATGCCTACTTTTTATTTCAACAATATTATCTTATTTTTGAATGAAGAAGAAGCGTTGCCTTCAATGAGGGGTGGGACGCTGATATCGGGTTGGGCCTGGCTGCTGAAAGTACTATTAATTGAAGATACTATTGCTTCCATCGGATCTACTTGAGTCGAGCAAAGCGCCCAGTAAATCAAAAGCCATGACGCGCTTGACTGAAATCCAAACACGCCATCCAGTGCGTATGTGGGGTGGCCAGTGAACGAACGTGCAGCGCGAGCAGTCGGTATTCACTAGCAGGCGCTGCCTGCGATGGCCGGCAAGGCGAGAGAGAGAGGGTGGGGAGGTGACAGTTGACGCGAGACGCCAGCACGGTGTGACTAATTTTACACTATGGTACGAACATGCAGCGTGAGAAGCAAGCATGCGCAGTGGGAGTGCCGACACCGCTGCCGGATTTGAGAGTTGGTGCGACTATAAGAGGCTCCACATTAAAAAAAATGACATCTTCCGCTAAAAGAAACCATTTGTAGATGCGAAGCAGCGGGCACTAACGTTCACACTAGCGGCAGCGTTGACGCTGCTGCTCATCGCGGTGTTGTGCAAGTCAGAAACCTGCGGAGCACGCAGTGATAGACTAGGTTTCCTCGATGCGCGTGCCCCCCTTCCGCTGTGCGCATCGACGAACCCTACGATAGGCTAGTGCAGCGCCTCCTCTATCTTTTTTTTAAGTGCTTGGGCGAAGGAGCAGAGTACAATAAGAATCAGCCGTAGGCGTTAGGGCGGCTTTCAGCCGCCATGCGCCGCCACAGAAAGAGTCGGCACCGCGCAATCGCTCACTGAAACGCACCTGGAATCTGCATTCGCAGCTCTTATAAGGTCGAGTTTTCGGTCTTATTCGCGCTGTTTAAGTATAAATATAACTCTGTAAACGTCAATAGTGAAACACTTGTCGCACTTGGAAACAAGTCTTTTTCAAAGCCATGTGTTGTTCGTGCCTATTGCTGTCGAGGGGCGCAGATATGAAAGTGGGGTCAAGTGGTGCCTGTAAAATAGTTCTTGCTCCAATATGTTCGCTAGTCTTATAGTGTTTTTTATCTGTCCGCGAGTCAGTTTCCTAAAGGTCTGTTTTGCAGTATCTAATACGCCAAGCTTGGGGGCTCGAAGAGTACAAATGTACGCTCCCGTCTTCAGCGTAGCAGGCTACATGGAAGCGTAGATTGCATGCGCTTACAAATAGCACGAAATGTCACTAGATTGCTTCCATGAAGGTACGTGACTTCTTGGTTTCGGCTCAAATATTTTGTCATGTACATCTGTTGCCAGTCAGAGGAAGCAAGAAGTGGTGCGTCAAAAAGCAAGGCACCTTTCCGAGTGATTACATCGTTTTATTGCCGTTTTAAAGCAGCTTTTTTACATCGTTTTAAAGCAGCTTTATTGTGATGATACGAAAAACGACGAACAAGAGCTCCTTCTTCCGTGCGGTTCTTGAAAGACTTCCCGTTGTACATGAAGAGATGCTGTTCAGTTTCTCGCACATTTGACGTTACGCTAATGTTACACGCGTGAAAAAAGCGACCTGCCATCAGCACCGTCGCTTAGTAACAAGATACTTTGCGAACATGCACGGAGATATCAATGCGAGAATAGAGAGATCACTAAGGCGAAAGCCTTAGATGCCTTCGGCGTGGTCATTTTGCACTGCCACCGTCATCTGTGGGTACATAACAAAGGCAATGCAACATCACGTAAAGTAAAAAAAAAGCTTTCGGACAGGGCGTGGAGGGACAACTAGCGTACGTCGAACGAAAAAAGAAAAGAGGATATAGTTTCCGCCATGGTCTTAGGTAAATGCATAAGGTACCCTGTGAGCTTTTGTATTCAAGAGTGGGTTTAGAGCATGGTGAATCATGTCTTCCATTTGTTGCACCATTGGAACGGCGCAAAATAAGAGAATTTATTCTGGAGAGAAACCCCGCTTGTCATTCAAGCGCACGGCACTCTCACAGTTTCGCGAACTTTCGCGAAAGGGGCTTTTAGGCAAAATGTTTAGCAGTGTCGTTACTTTCGGTAACATTGAATGCGTAGCTCTCATGCTTCGTTCAGTTGCTAGCTGATTTGTGAAGGGTAGTCTGCAAATACTGACGGTACTGCATCTTTCTTGAGCCGCCGTTTTATTTTTCTTCTATGCAGTCTTCTGGTCACAAATGCCAGCTACATACTCGTGTATAGTTTGAAGTTGTATTAGGCGGCCGATTGCCCCGCCTGATCGGACCAAGCTAGCCCTTCCGCACTTCCACGGCAGCTGGTACAGAACAAAAGCCTGTCAGTGTTTTTTTTCTTTTCTTCCTGCTCGATTCGCACAGTGGTGCGCTACAATACGACGTGCTAGGGCACTTAGACCTTTTGGTTGCAAATGGCTGAAATCAAAAATAAATCACAATTACTATGAAATACAAGTGATTCTTTTCGCACCAGCGTCGCGGGCAGATCGACTGTATTCGATAAATGTACAAGTTAAAGCCTTAAAAAACCGTGAATGCACTTAACTTCCCTTGTAAACACAAGCTCAGGAGTAATAGTAGTAGTAGTAAACAACTTTATTAAGGCAGCTGACGGTTTCCTAAGTGGCGAGGGCTGTCAGGCCATGCCTGTTCACCACCTTGTCAGCGCGTTTGATGGTTCGGAGCTGGGTGTCCAGGCTTGTAGTCATGGCAATTCTCTCCCAGGCCTCACTTGAAGGTGACTGTCCTAGAAGGTGGGGGGGGGGGAGGGTCCTTGCTGCATCCCCAGATGATGTGGTCCAAGGTTGCAGCCTGTGTCTTGCAAAGGGTGCACGTAGATCTGAATAAGGCTGGGTATATGTGTCTGTATATGTACGGGGAAGGAAATGAGTTCGTTTGAAGTCGCCACCAATTGATTTGTTGAGCTCTGTTTGGTTCCGGGTGCGGGGGTAATCTGGTTTCCCTTGATGGCTTGTAGTACTGCGTGATGTCGTGAAAGGTGATGAGTGGTTCGGTTGCTTCGGTTGGTTCGGCCAGACTTCGGTATCGTGGTCCGAAGTCTAGCCCTCTGCTCGGCGTGCGAGTCCTCGAGCTTGTCTGTGGGCGACTTCGTTACCCAGGCTCCCTGCGTGCGCTAGGACCCAGATGAGTTCAGGAGCTCAGAATTACGCGCGGCCGTTGAGCGGAACCTTCAGCGGATTGATGGATGGATGCTATGAGTGTCCCCTTTTAGGGGCGAAGCTCCTTAAGCCGTAGGTAGTGAGTTCGTGTTGTATGTAGTAGTAGTACTAGTCGTAGTACGAGTAGTATTCTTGTTGTTGTCACTGTTGTAGTAGTTGTTGTTTTTGTTGTAGTAGTAGGTAGCCACCTTTCGTTTAGTGCTTGGAATGTCCACTGAATGGCGGTACTTATATATGATGAATATATTATGAAAAGATGCGAAATGGTGGTACTTGGAGTGTTTATTACATGGACGGACGGGCGCACGGACGTAGAAACAGAAGCTGGGCTGCTTGTTAAAATCTCTGTAGGAATCGCAGGTGAGCGCTATTCTGCGTATGGTGTGTTGTTGCTGTGTTTGGTTATATGTTGTGTATGTCTCTACGCAAATGTGAAGAGACCAAGCAATCTCTTCGGTTTATTCTTTTCTATGGATTGCTAAAGCGAAAAAAACACCCAGATTTGTTATTTTAAAAAGTGTGTGAATATATATATATATATATATATATATATATATATATATATATATATATATATATGAGATCTAACAGACAATAATGCCAAAGAAGTATAGGGGAAGTTATTAGGCCAATTGTAATGTAAATGAGAAGAAAGAAAAGTGGGTGAAAAGGCCGTGGGTGGGATCCGAACCTGCGACCTTCGAGTAACGCGTTCGATGCTCTACCACTTGAGCTACTACGACAGCTATCCCCCCAGCCACATTATTGGGTATCTATGTCAATTTTTAAACGCGGGAGTGTCAGTGAGCGCCACAAGTAGCCATGGCGGCGAGTGTGGCACACTCAATATGAGCCTGTTTGGCGTCACGTAGCACGTGAACTTATTACTAACTGGCAGCTGACCAATAGACCCTCGTATACAACCTAAAGGCACCAAGTCTGCCAGCACGAGACCCTTGTTAATGAATAAGGGAAAGAAATGTATACTTAAGGGCTCGTTTTTCGTGTTCTTACACAATAATAGTGAGATCTAACAGACAATAATGCCAAGTAAGGTATAGGGCAAATTATTAGGCCAATAGTAATATAAATGACAAGAAAGAAAAGTGGGTGAAAAGATAACTTGCCGTGGACAAGATCCGAACCTGCAACCTTCGAATATTGTGTTCGATGTCTACCACTTGAGCTACCACGACAGCTATCCCTTCAGCCAATTATTTGGGTATCTATGTCAATTTTTAAACGTGGGAGTGTCAGTCAGCGCCACTAGTAGCCATGGCGGCGAGTGTGGCACACTCTATGTGAGCCTGTTTGGCGTCACGTAGCACATGAACTTATTAAGAACTGGCAGTTGACCAATAGTCCCTCGTATAAAACCTAAAGGCACCAAGTCTGCCAGTACGAAACCCTCGTTTATGAATAAGGGAAACAAGTGTATACTTAAGGGCTCGTTTTTCGTGTTTTTACAAAATAATAATGAGATATAACAGACAATAATGCCAAGGAAGGTATAGGAGAATTTATTAGGCATTATTCATTATGTATATTGTCACGGGGTCGTGGCGTGGCCAAAGACAGGAAACTTCGTGTTGGGATTTAACTGTTTATTTGGGCGAACCTGTGCCCTGTAAAGGGAAAGTCTAGTTACAGCAGCAGT